TTAGCGCTAAAAAACCATCGTATCCTATATAAATTAATAATATTATGAATAAACATATGAAACGAGACGATATATAATATATGTATATATAGGAGGTGCACCATAAAAATAAACTTGCTCGGATTTTAAAAATTTTTGTACCATTGTTTTCTAGAGACTGTGAGAATTTTCACAATACCAAATTTGTCATACCTTTTTGGAAAGATCAGTGAGTTTCGCCTAGGTGCCATATTTGATGGTGCGCGGCTTTTGGAGCAAAATTAGCTGTAAAAGTTGCGTAATTTGACCAAATTTGACCAAATTCGTTGATTTTTGTCGTATTATTTGGATATATCTTCAGTTCCTTGAATGAGATCATTCTGAAAATTGGCGACGACCTTCCAATAGGGCTTTTACAACTGTCCGAAAAATTTGGTGGATATCGGAGTTGATATAGTGATCAAAATGGGGCAAAATACGCTGCTTTTAGCTGTAACATAATGTCTGATGGTTGGATAGGCTTTAAACTTTTCGGACACCTTCCTTGTAAGTCTATGAGTAAGCTTACCAATTTTTGTTGCAATCGGAGGTCGGGAAGGATACTTAATATCTATTTGTTTGAAGAAAATTGTGCTGGCCGAAATTAGCGCTAAAAAACCATCCTACAGTCGGCACGCGCGGCTCACTGTCGATGGCGCACTACCTAGTATATATAAAGACTGAGTACCGAGTTATCAAAATTGATATTGGGCCTTAAGGAGAAGATTATAGAATATAGCATAGACTGGAAGATTATTACCAAATCAAACAAATATAAGGCATGTGCGGGGTATTGTGGCCTCTGCCTATAGACGAAAAGCTACAAATCCTTAAGAACCCAGACTCAATAAATAAAAGATCTGAGATTATCTCCAAATGTAGACATTCTAGGAAATTCTTAGTTAGACATATTTAGTTAGAATTTATTAGTTATAAGCATTAAGAATTAATGTTATTTACCTTACTCGGGATTATTACGACGGGTTTATTAACGACCGGTTAAAATATGGTTCGGGAAAAATATGGCGAAATTGCTCAAAACCCACCACATTTTCCCGGTCGCCATTTTACCGGTGTCCAACCTTTCAATTTTAGATTCAAAAATTTTGTCTCAGATGTAAATTTCCTTATTAGAGATAAGCAAGTTTAGAAATTTTCGCATTGCTAAAACTTGTGAAACAAGTCGAATTATCAATAATTGTTGAAAGTAGACAGAAATAATGACTCGTGGTTAATCAAACTAGATGGAAAATAATTTTTAACATTTGAAGCGTAACAACCAGATCGATATTAAGATAAAGGGAGAGCTGTTTAGTCTTCCAATAAGTTGTAATCATCTTCGTTATCTTCATCTGGATCATCCCTTTCATCAGTTTTAATTAATTCAAGTTTTAATTTAACTGTTACTTTTACTTTGAGTCCTATTTCATTATGTAGAGATAGTCAATACCTAAGAAATTAAAAATTGGCCTATTTAATCAAATTTGACAATAAGGATATATGACAAGAATTGGGCAAAAAGGTGAATTTTTTGCAATTTTAGCCAAATGAAGTCGAAAAACCTACAACAAGTGTCCCAATAGTCTTCTTTAGTGAATATAAGACAACGATTAAAATATGAGCACCCATACCCCTTGGGAACCCTAAAAGCTGAGTAGGCGGGTTAATTAACGACCGGTGAAAATGTGGTTCGGGAAAAATATGGCGAAATTACCCTAAACCCACCACTTTATCCCGGTCATAATAATCCCGAGTAAGGTATAGGTTTTAGGAATACCTTACTCGGGATTATTATAACCGGGATAAAGTGGTGGGTTTTGGAAGATTCCGCCATATTTTTCCCGGTCAAAAATTTTACCAGTCATAAAAAAACCCGCCGACTCAGATTATGGGGTTCCAAGGGGGTGGTGATCATCATATTTTACCTGAAGTCTCATATGTGCTAGAGAAGACTTTTGAAGCAGTGGATGGAGGGCTGTAACTTTATTGGCGGTTGCTACCATAATTTCGTTATAAAAATCACAATTTGGTTATAGAAATCAGATTTCAGGGTGGACCGTGATTCTCACTTTTCTTGCCCATGAAGTGAGTAAACTGTGCCACTATTTCATGGTCCACGGTGGATTGATTACTGGAGCAGTTGAAGATGCAAAGCCAAGACGTTCCCCAATACCAAGCGGTGGGCAGGAAATTAAGCTCCGGCTGACCTTCAGAGCAGTAGCCCCATTAGCGGACAAAATGAAAGTCTTGTTAAGACAACAATACAACTTCGAATTTGATGGTCAGCAGGAGGGGGATATCAATAATGATAATGGAGGGGACATTAGCGATAATGAGAATGAGAATACGCTTTAATGAAGATTTGACTTATTATTGCTATAGATTTATTTTCCTTTAAATACTAGACGTGTCTTTTTTTCTATTTCTGAGTAATATCAGTAACTGTAAATTGAAATAACTTCTTTAACATGTATCAAAAACAGAAATTTCGGTTGAAAATTTGTTGACCTCTGAAAAAAAACTTGAAAGGTCGGCCACCGGTAAATACATGACCGGGATAATTTGGCGGGTTTTGGGAAAGTCCGCCATATTTTTCCCGGTTATTAATTTTCCCAGTCATAAATTAACCCGCTATAATATTCCCGAGTAAGGTATTGAGTAATTGTCAATTGTCAATTATTCTTTAAATCAATTTTTGAGAATTAATTTGTCGCCTCTCCTGGAAACTTTTCTCAAAAATAATTTTTGAGAATGAGAATTTGGCCATTTTTGTCAGGACCCTCAAAAATACTCATGATCCCCCCCTCCTAATTAGCATAGCAGTTGATGGATATCATCAAGACGGCAAAAATCACCATCTATGATTTATATTTCGATTCGATTGTTTTAAAATCGATTCTTCATTGTTATTTAGGCCTTAGGTCGAGTAACGGAAAAGTTTTGACTTTTGCACTAGCACGGACTACGTCGAACAAATGAAAATGCGTTCAATATCAAAATAAAATATCAAATGATATGGAAGTTCACATTATAATAATACATATTTACCCTCAATAAAGAAGAAGAGAAGAAAACACTCAGGGGCCCCGAGTTGTCCCTCCTTAATACTATCTATATTCTTTTATTATTGTTACTATTTTTTCCATATTGATATGTTTCATACCCAGTCGGCTCAGAATGTTTTGGTCCGGACCATGCTTGCTGGTCCAGTGGCCCTGCCATGGCTCTCTAGCTTGGGCAGGTTTGACTTATATCTATATTATATTTTAAACTTGACGAAATTTCCCCGGCAACGGGGACATAGAAGAAAAAACACCGAAAATCGACCTCAAAATGACCCTCTGGTGAAATCAAACCCAGCTCGCAAATGGAGTTGAAACCTCGCCATTTTTAGCAGGGTTGTAGAAAAAGGATAGGAATAGGCTATAGCATTCTTAGAATTTTGATTTAGGCTTTAGATTTTTTATAATTAACGTCGGAAGTGAGGTAAAATAACCGTTAGAATAATGTCGTTATTTTAGCAAAGGTTTACTGCGCTGTTGCGTAGCAACGTTAAAATGCACGTGCGCGAGCAAGAACATCTTAACTACGCGCGTTGTTATGCTGTATGCTACTTATATTCATAACGTTGAAATCACGCCTTCCATCAACGAACTGATTAATCGCGTCTTTCCTGATCTTTACTCTACTCCATTGGATAATGTCATCCTTTGTCCACTTAATTCTTCAGTAAACGCAATCAACGACATGATAATTGACGAAATTCCAGGACAGTCAACAACGTATACATCTATCGACTCATCCCTATCAGAGGATGGCCAGGCGACTTATCCAGTGGAATTTTTAAACAATGTGAATATTGGTTCACTTCCACCACATAAACTGAATTTGAAGGTGGAGACGCCTATTATTGTTCTCCGCAATATTAACCATCCAATTATGGTTAATGGAACACGGGCCATTGTGTCACGTCTCCATAGAAACACAATTGAAGCCTTCAACAAAAATGGAACTATAATATTGATTCCACGAATAACCCTGGTACCAACAGACTTTTCTAACGGCATTATATTTCGTAGAAAACAATTTCCGGTTCGGCCATGTTACAGCATGACCATAAATCGTGCTCAGGGACAAGACATCACTAAGCTATAGTTGGACTGGACCTTAGGTCCGAATGTTTTAATCATGGACAGCTTTGCGTCGCTCTGTCAAGAACACACGATCCTAAGGATATCTTGGTGCTGTCAAGTCGGGGCAATATTGCAAAGAATCCCGTGTTCAAGGATTGTCTTCATAACTAGCTATTACTTATTTTCATAGCAATCAATTTTCATATAATAATTTCATATAATGATAATAATTTTGAATTAACGTTTTGTCAACCTACGTAAATATCCATTTATTAACCTATTTGATTTAGGATCTAAAGTCATTTGATAGATTATGTCATTTTACCAATTTCATTCAGCACAAATTTCCTTTTTTATTTATCACAATTCTTTCATACGTAAAAACTTCAATTTGAACAGATCTATCAAATGAGACGATGAGGGACCTGACATTTACCGAAATGATTCAAATGTGTAATTCATATATTTTCAGTGAAGCAGGGTTCGGGAACTAAAGCATATTTGTTGGATTGTTTGACCATTGACTAGCGATGACCGATAAATTCGCTCCCTTATAGTGTCCTTTAATAAAATTTTCGACTACAGCGGATTTCAACGCGCGGTGTTATGCTGTATGCTACGTCAGAATTTCACAACTAGCTCACATTTACCCTCATGACGCTATATACCTATATATATTTATAACTTTGGTTGTGATTGAAATTTTTTGATGCGGTAAAAAGTATTGTTTTGGGGCTATATGATGAAGAGAAATTAAAACATAACTGATGCTTAAAATTTCCTCGAACAAAGCTTTCGACTAGCGGCGGGTTTCTAGTATATATATATAACTATAAGAGAAATATATATATATATATAATAATTATATAATTAATTGACTAGGTAATCTGCCATACACGGTTAAAACAATTTAGATTAAAAATGGAATATAAAGCATTCGAGTAAAAGTAGATACTAGATCTACTAGATTTAAGGCTTTGTGTTCTCCTGAAGTAAAGGGACTTTGGATTCTTCTTCTTTTACTTCGTCCGTCGGTGAGTACCTGCGAGTGTTGTAGTAATGCAAATAGTTTAAATACTTAAATAGAGAATCATGGTTAGAAATAGTTAACCAATACATGTTTTAGTAAAAAAATGGTTTTAAAACTCTATTGTCACTAATTTTGGCCAATTTTAGTATTTTGGGGGTTCCAAAAGGAGGTTTCTGGGAAACAGCATTCGGTTATGATGGTTTCTGTTAGTTTTCAGGGATAGTTCTCGTCCCAAGATCGAAGATAGAAATTTGGGCAGAATGATCCAAAATTTCAAAAATGGTCTTTAAAAGCACTTATGTCAGAAAACGGCTTAGTTATGCATGTGGTATAATTAATAAAGAATAAACTTGGAAGTATTACCTGTCTTTAAAAGTGGAAGAGAACTGTCTACCAAAACAAGAATTTTATAAAGAATTTCCCACGACCCAAACATTGCAATTGCATGTCCCTTTTCGGCCGCTTTTGCATTGATGCGCGATTAAAAGGGCATAGAACGTGTGCCAAGCAAAAAAATATGCAGTAGAAAACATAAGAGCATATTACCGTTTAGAATTAGATGAGCAAGTCGGACTCTGAGAAATTGGTATCTCCTCCGCAATGTCCTCTTTAGAGTCAATGTCAAGCCACTCTTGTGCAATCTCTTCTTCTAGCACCACTAAAGGTAAACGTAATGTTTAACACACTTAATTAACGGATCTTATTCATTTATCCATTTATAGCGATAATTAGAGCCTAGTCCAGATATTTATACGTCAGTTTTCTAAAATGTCATATAAGATATAATGGACAACATTTCTCCATCAGTATAGGGTAAGGAAATTACTTACTTCTTTCCTTCACAAATTTAGGAGTACTACCACAAAGTAGTTCAATAATCTTCACTGCGCCCCACACAATGATTTGGAACAGGAATATGAAGAGCATTCTCGCTAACACTAGCTCCAACCAAAACCTGGACTGATCTGCCCTGGCCGGTTGGATGTAGGACCAATATCTGGGAATAAAGAGATTAGTATTAGAACAAGGGGAACTGAGAGCGGGCAAAAATACTGTAAAATAAACAGCTGACAGCGAGAATGAATAGTAAAAAGAATGAAGGTGCATTCTCTCAACTCTGGGTTGTAAAGATGGAAAAAACAAGTTAAGCACTGACTATCACGTGACTTTGTATATAAGTATAGTGCTTGTTGAAAATGGGAACAGCTTCATCCGAGGTCACTAAAATAATCAATCAGCTTCTAGCAACTGCTCGACTAAATCGAAAATTTGTTTACCTGCACGTTTGATTTGTTTGAGATCCATCAGATTCTTCACGGACGAAGTCATGGCTAGCCAACATGAAATCCACGTAGCTGCTCCCTTCGGTCTCGTAGTTACGCTTATATATCATTAATGGTAACCAATCAAAAGTAAATGCTATCAAAATAGCGTTCACAAGGATGGCTATTCGGGACAGAACTTCTAGAATGTTCATCCACGCTCCTGATAAAAAAGATGCATTAGCTTTTTGTCACCACCTATATCCTCAGTTCTAATCCTCAGTATTCTACAGTAACTCACCTATATCCTCAGGTCTACTAGTCTTTTCAAAGCTGAGGTCACTAAGCATCTATGGAAATGTTTATTGGATAGTGAAACAACAGCCTAGCCTAGTCTCTTTGCTCCCCATATTATTATTATTTTTGTTTTATTCATTTTTTTATCTACCTTCCTATACTTTCAACATCATATCACACTTCACACACATTAATGACCATATCAGACCTGTATCTAATGTATCTGGAATTTGACGTATTGAAATACCAATTTTGACTATATATCCACAGTTATTCACCATGGATTTGTTTGTTATTAAATAGTTTTTTCATAAATTTTTGGATTTAGATTGATTCGATGTAATGGGTCCAAGTTACTGCGGACATAGTTCACTATGTGTTTACCGTGTTTGGGTGCCCATCATATTTTACAGATGGGGGCGATATTTTGAACGATTCTATTTTATATTCATCTATTGCTGTACTCTGTAAAATTTGAAAAGTATTTAATAAAAAAATTCTACAGTAACTCACCTATATCCTCAGTTCTAATCCTCAGTATTCTACAGTAACTCACCTATATCCTCAGTTCTAATCCTCGGTATTCTACAGTAACTCACCTATATCCTCAGTTCTAATCATCAGTATTCTACAGTAACTCACCTATATCCTCAGTTCTAATCATCAGTATTCTAGCTACAGTAACTCACCTATATCCTCAGTTCTAATCCTCAGTATTCTACAGTAACTCACCTATATCCTCAGTTCTAATCATCAGTTCTAATCCTCAGTATTCTACAGTAACTTACCTATACCCTCAGTTTTAAATCCGATGGGTCTACGAACTCTCTTGACATATCTCGTAGCGTCCTTGTGTCGCTGACAGGGGGGGGGGGGGATCATGTTACAGGTTCATAGTGAAGATTTTAGAGCAAATCGAATGCTATAATTTCAAGCAATCATGGTGGACATAAAGTCCCTATCATTAATATGATCACAATGTGCCATTTCAGTAAACTGTGACGAAAGAGGTACCATATCCTTACCTTCGATAATTGTGAAAAAGAGGGTATCAATGGGAAATGGCTATTTCTAAATGACAGCAAGAGATTATTGAATGCGAAAAACATTAAAATTCAAATGTTTGTAGTTTATTTGGTTATATTACCTGCCATATGTTAATAAAGAGACAAATGAGGGGAGCTAGCGGGAAAGCAGTAACGAACATAGTTAGGAAACCTGTGTGAAATTGGAGTAAAATGGACACAATAATATACAAGCATTGATGTGTGAGGGGGCTGACAGAGACGCACAGACCCGGCACTTGCACTGGTGAGGTTACCTTGGATGATGGGTCCCTCTTTATTAACTCAGGAAGAAGTGATGGGTACAGACGACAAGGGGTAGGTTTAGTCCTCTCGAAGAAGACTAAAAATTCATTGATTTCATACAGTCCGATATCAGAACGTATTCTTGCAGCGAGGCTGCACAGTCGACATATCAACATTTCGATTGTGATAGCTTATGCTCCAACTGAGGATGCAGCAGTCGGGGTAAAGGATGAATTTTATCAGCAGCTATCTGGGGCATTTGATGAACTACCAGCTCATGACGTGAAGTTTTTACTTGGAGATCTAAATGCTCGCATTGGCCAAGATAACTCAGCTTGGTCCGGTGTGATTGGTAAGCATTCCCTTCACGTTTCATCAAATGACAACGGCCTTCGACTATTAGATTTCTGTGCATTGCATCAACTGACAATCGGTGGGACGCTTTTCCAGCATCGTGATATTCATAAAGGAAGTTGGAAGTCTCCAGATGGCCGCACAGTAAATCAGATTGACCATGTCTGTATTTCTACCAAGTGGAGTCACTCTCTACTTGACGTAAGATCATGCAGGGGTGCAGACATTGGCTCCGATCATTATTTGGTTCGGGGCCAATTTAGAGTCAAACTTATGGCAGTTCAAAAAATGAACGCCTCTCGTAGGAAATCTCCAGCAATTGAGAATCTTAGAGATCAGTCCAAGGTTGAAGAGTACTGCATTGCTCTTCAAAATCGTTTTAGCTGCCTACCAATGGAGGAGAATCTTGATGGAGAATGGACATTAGTTAAGGATACTATTAAAGAAGTGTCTATGGAGGTACTGGGTGAGCGCCCCCGGCGCAGAAAGCAGCAGCATTTGTCTCAGGAGACAAAAAGCCTTATTGCAGAACGCAGTAAGATTAAACAGATGGCGCCTAGTGACAAAAACAATAGGAGCGAGTATTCTCGGGCCAACAAACTTGTCAAAAAGAGCTGCAGGAAAGACGACGAGAATTGGGCTCTTAGAGTTGCAGCAGATCTGGAAACAGCTGCTGTCCATGGCCGGCAAAGGGAAGTCTGGCAACGGATAAAAACACTGTCCGGTAAGAAGAATCGAAAATCAACTGCTGTAAGAGACAAATCCGGGAAGTTGATTGCTGATCCCTCTGCTCAGAGAGAGAGATGGGGAGAACATTTTTCGGAGCTATTAAACCCTCCTCCCACGAATGCGGATCTGTCTGACCTGGACCATCTTGAAGTGGTTCCATGCTTTCCGTATCTTGGTGATGGTGATGGTCCCCCCACTAGACTTGAGATTTTAAACTGTCTCAAAAAATTGAAGAACCACAAAAGTGCTGGGATTGACGAAATCTCTAATGAGCAGTTAAAGTATGGGGCAAGTGGTCTTGTGGATAGGATGGAGAAATTGTTCTCTAAAGTTTGGAATTCAGAAGCAGTGCCTGACGACTGGTTGAAAGGCATCGTGATAATTGTACCAAAGAAGGGTGATACCTCTCATTGCTCCAATAATAGGGGGATCACTTTAAGATCTACAGCATCGAAACTGTATCAAATCATCATTTTACAACGCATGAGTGACGGTTTAGAAAGTTTGCTACGAGACAATCAGTGTGGGTTCAGAAAGAACAGATCATGCATTGATCAGATTTATTCACTCCGCACTATTATACATAACTGCATTGAATATAATCTCCCCCTGTATGTAAATTTTGTGGACTTCAAGGCAGCTTTTGATTCTATCGACAGGAATTATATTTGGAAAGCTTTCAGTCATTATGGCCTGCCATGTAAATACATTCGAATAATACAGGCATTCTTTAATGGAACTGTCAGTGCTGTTAGACACAATGGTGAACTATCAGAATGGTTTGAAGTAAGTTCAGGCAGTGGCCAAGGAGACATTCAGGGTCCCCCACTTTTTAATGTCTGCCTCAATGTGGCTGCTGAGAGAACAGAAAGCAACAAAGTGGTGTCCCACGGAGCGGTTCTTCAAAGATCTATCAGTCCGCTTGTTGATGATATCACTGTGTTAGATACAGACTATGCAGATGACATGGCTGTACTGGATAACAGCGAGGAAGGTCTTCAAGAAACAACTGACCTTTTGTGTATGTATGGTGCCCAGGGAGGTCTCAGAATCAATGGTAAAAAGACTGAGGCTATGGTCATTGGTAAAGCAACCTCTCAACGGCCATACACGAAAGAAGCCACAGTGAACATCACTGTTGAAGACACGCCAGTGCAGCAAGTTAGTGACTTTACGTACTTAGGTACAATTATTTCCAGCGACGGTACTATCGACCGTGAGCTGTCAGCTATGATTCAGAAAGCTTCCGGAGCCTTCAATCAACTGAGTAATATATGGAAAAACCGCAACATCCAGTCTTATACAAAGATCAGGATTTATAAGGCAGCGGTTTTGACAATATTGTTATATGGTAGTGAGGTTTGGAACACAACCAAAAAGCAGCTACATCGCTTTGAGGTGTTCCATCAGCGTTGCTTGAGGAGAATACTTAGGATAAGATGGCTCGATCGGGTTAGAAACTCTGAAGTGCTGGAGCGTGCAAAGATAAATCCAGTAGAGACGTTCATAGGAGCAAACCGCCTGCGTTGGTTTGGCCATGTCACCAGAATGCCAGACACTAGGCTTCCTAAGTACCTGCTTAACTGGACCCCTGCGCATGGGAGAAGATCTAGGGGCCGTCCATGAAAGAACTGGATGAAATGTTTGCTGGAAGATGCTGCAGCGTTTACAGGAAACACTGACATAGACCTAGAAGGAGCAAGCGAGATGGCTAGTGACCGAAAACTTTGGAGGGAGATGATACGTCACAAACGGGAGTTCATTGGTGCAGGCCACTCGAATGATTGAGGAGACCTAATCAAGTACAAGTAAGTAAGTGATGTGTGAGAATAATCACTGTTGCAATTAAAATTGTATTCTTAATCTTTGTAAAAAAAATCATTCGGCATTTATAAACAATTACAAGACCAACTTACCAAGCTGAATGATGTTATTGATATACTCCTGGTACATCTCTGTAGGTTCAGCAAGTTCGAAATCTTGAACATATTGAGATCTGTTTTCTGGAGATATTAAATTGAGTTAAAAATTGTAACGTAAAATTAACAACCCAATACTAACTGGACAATGTTGATAAAAAGTATAATGATTCAAGAACCATATTAAGGTTTTGTTTAATAATATAACAAATTGCTTATACTCACTGTTCAAGTCTTTAAGAATTTGTTCGGCCATGTCTTTCCACCTTTGAGTGAATTTACAGCAGTCAACAAAAGGAGAAAGTAACTTAAACTTCATTTCCTCCTTAATCCTGTTTATATTCAGGGTTCTGATTATATCCTTCAGTATCGGAACAATTCGTTGCACTGACATGATCATTATCATCTGTATTGATACCTGCGAGGGGTTTATCATTCGTTATCTAAACAAGCAAGGAGTTACCATAGTTACACTACTAGTTACCATAGTTACACTACTAGTTACCATAGTTACATAGAGTAACTCATTATCTAAACAAGCAGACAGTTTATAATCAGATGAACGCATGTCATTCGTTATCTAAACAAGCAGGGAGTTTATAATCAGATGACGCATGATTCAGAGAGAAGACTTTAAAAGGAGTTACCTCGCTCATACAGCCCCCAGGAGCGCAGCCCTCTATCTTCATTGAATTGCCATATAAATACCTCGGGTCTGCTGGCGACGTTACACTGAAATAGTATCTCATCATTGTCTGATCCAAACGAGACTTAAAAGCAATTCAGCAATATAAAAGATTTATCATCACTAAGTGGCTCCTCATACTCACTTTCCCTTGATGAAGGCAATATAGAACAGAGTGCTGTAGTAGTTGACAAACTCAAACAGGTAAATTTTAAAAGAAAGATGATTGTCGTGATCACGCTGTGTTCTGTGGTTCTCCCTGTCCGTTAACTTGTTCGCTATTATCCTGTACACCTGGTAACATTATCTGGTAGTGTAACTATGGTAACTAGTAGCGTATCCGATTCATTATAATATATTTATCTAGAACTTTTAAACAATGCATCAAGTAATCTGTAATACGAGAGTTAAATCTCGGTCCTCATTTCGCTGTTATGACAGAATTCCTTACTGAAACTGAAAAATAACGGGATCTGGGGGACGGGCCCTTGTGTAAAATTTTGCATTAACCTAAAACTAATTTATTATATTACTCAACACTCACGTATGATAGGCAGATGATAAGCGTAGCGCTGAGACTTCCTGTCACACAAATAGCAATCTCATTAGCATATTTTCTGGTAAAAGGGTTGTAATCCTTGGCCCTTTGTATCGAAACGCTCAGCGAGTAGTTGTAGACAGTTATTGTGAGGGTCGTCAGTGTAGCTATTGCCAGCTGCAGTCAGGAAAAGGAGTTATAAAATCTGTAAATTTTGGAAAAGCATTTAAATAAGTTTGCCAGATGGGGTCGGTGTATCAGAAATAGTAATTTGAACCTACAAATATAGCGACGAAAGTGAAGGCTTGGATGTATTTGGGAAGTCTATGGAGAAAGGTTATGTGCTGCTCTCTTTTCTTCGTAATTTGGTTGTATCGCAACACGTTTGTATCGGTCAGTTTGTACTTCACCCTCACTTCTGCCTGAACGCAGAGTGAACTTAGTATATCTTGCAAAGTGTAAACATCACAATTTGACTTCCAACAGAGATGATGAGCTCACGCAGCTCACATTAACAAATTGATATGAATATTAATATTTCTTGAAGTCAGTTGCCTTACCGAAGCGCTTCCACTATTAGTTGTACCCCAACTATGCGCTATACTACTCTGCTGCCGCTTCCAAAACGTCAAGAACATCGCTAACCAGATCATCATGATTATAGAAAAAACTATAACTGCACCGTTGTTAGCCACGCTCGTTATCTAGAACAGAGAATCAATAATTCAACATCATCACGATGAGGGCAGCGTCTAACGTAATACGTATCCTGTCTAAAATTATCACTGGTTGCACAAACCAAAAAATGTAAAGATCCAGGATTATAATGATTAATTATACAATGAAAGGTGAATGACTTTAAGGTTGGATTATTACACTGGTAGTGAAGCAATAGTCTGACAAATAAGTAGCGTTGCAGGTTCCATCTATATAGCAGTCCGCACACATCAAATATTTTTCCTCGCTTTCACAAATATGCCGTGCTGTGTCAGTCCAAGTCATCTGCAGCAGACCGTATATGAAAACAGCAGTTCCTGCTATAGCAGGTATCACCAGGGACATGTTGTAGAATCCTGGAATACACAGACCGGGTTTAGTGGGGACTGGCTTGGTATTAAAGTGATTCATCTACTACAAAACGTTCAGACTTGTATTTATAGATTTATTTAGTTGTTTCAGAAGAATGCATAATTTTGAAAAAGTGCCAAAAAGTGTAGTGTACTTACCGATATAAGCGAAATACATGGCAGTACCAGAACCAAAGTAGTTTCTCACGATGTTGAGGGGTTGGTACTTCAAATTCATCTTGGACGAGCTCCAAAAGTACCGCAGTAACTGTCTGGGATTCATGTCTATCTGTTCTGAGGGCGAGGAGAGAGAACTGTTACTGCTGATCTTGCCGGAAATGAAATTAACTGTTATCAGAATCTGATCTTTCAGAGTAAAAAGTTAAGAGACAAGTGCCATACTTTCGATGTTGATCTCACTCCACTTTTGTTTTTTTTCAGAGACATCACATCTAATCTTATACCCTCCAGTATGTAGCGGATATGCTGTTTCAAAACACCCCTTTTGGTACATATCGCTCAGCTTATAATCTTTTTCTGCTTTATTGTCATCTAATTCTGGGCTTTCAGTTAACTTTCGACATTTCTTTTGTTTTTCGTCATCTGTCTCTGGGTTTTCGAGAATCCTGAATACCTGTGAGAAACATAGTTGCATGTATAGCTTTTAAGACGAAAAGCTAGAATTTTTCACTTATTTTTAAATGATATATTCCGATTAAAAACTCCTTATGGATTTTACCATTAACGCTCGCTCTGAAGCGGTGTAAAATTTAGTAGGATCGTCGTGACCGAGAAACTGTTTTCCTTTGGATACCTTGAACGGCGCTCGAATGGCTCTGTGATGGAGAAATATTGGTGAGTTGATATTATATATATCAACTATATATAAACTAAAAGTCTGTCCAAACCAGGCTACTGAAGACTTTGTTGTAACTTGTATGAAAAGCATTCATATGCTTGCTTTTAAACTGAATCATATGGCCGATAAGAATATCGAGATTCGAGTCATACATTTTAATGAACATTCTTTATAGTCTTTGGATTCAGATATCTCCAGAATTACTTATATATTAGATATTCAACAAGAATTGAACCTGGTCAGTGGATTGTCTTTAGTTAACTTAAGCCTGGGATCGTGCCCATATAAGGCATCAAAGATGAAGTTCTCTATTTTGGTAATCCATAGCTTGCTGTGCCATTCGTTTTGAGAGATAAGCTGTATGAACGCATCTGACTTTTTGTAGAAGGCTTCTTTCTTGACGTTCTCCAACTGAATTCATCAATTCGATCAGACTCACAACAGCAAGCGAGTGTATAATAATATATCCATATTTAAAGAATCAATTCTGACTTATTAAGTTATTAATATTAAGAATAAATATATGAAATCACCTGCGCTTTTAATTTTGATTCAAAGTTCTCCTCCGCATCATGAGATTCTGGCTTGAACTTGTGTATAAAATCCTTTACTGATTTCAAGGTCGGAGTAACATACCTAGATGGAAGGAATAATGTCCTATTAGAACCCTCTATATCATCATGTTCTGGTGGTGGTGGTAGTTTGTAGAGACTCTCATTGTACATGGCTATCATCTTGTCCACCGTCATCTCGTGTTTCAGGAGCAGAACAGATCCTGGGACAGATAAAAGATTATAGACAGAACATTTTAGGAGATAAAAGATTAGATATTAAAGGATCATGAATCATCTTATATGCTCATTTGCTGATCCTTTTCAAAATATTCCTAACTCTCACTCACCTAAGGGTGGCTCGACTGGTTTCATGAGCAGGAACTTTTCTGCCCAAAAGTCCATAGTAAAATTGGTTCCACATATTTTGATCGCTCTATACTCCTCAAACTTGGAACAAAAATTCTGAAGAATATCTTAAAATTATGTTGATAACACGGGGGGTGGGGGGAGGGGAGGGGTGGTTAAAATAACCTTTTTTAAGACACACTCTGCTATGCAAATAAAATCAAAGATTGAAAGCGTTCCTGATCTTAAGAAGGGAGAACTAAGAAAATAAGACAATAAACCTCAATTTCTATTTCAAGGCCATTTTCCCGGAGAAGCTTTATGTACTCAATTCTCATGTCGGCTTGTTCGTCTCCTTGTTTCGACCTCTCATAGTCCTCCTTATCTATTAGTCTGGGATCACGATCCACTGAGGGTTTGTTAGCTGAAAACTTATCAACCGTTTGTTGTATAGTGTTTGAACCAAATATTATTTTGCCAGCAAGCAAAACTCAGAGCTTGCTTTAAAACATATTACATCAAAAGTGTCACGTGTTTGGATATTGTATTTGTTGATTAGAATCTAACCTTTAGCTGCTGTCCACTGGGAGTTTCTTTTCTTCTCCACGGGTTTGTAGACAAGCACAAAGTCGATATTATTATTCTTTTCATCTGACCAAGGCTCATAGTTGATCAGTTTTCCTACTACATCCGCCATCAACTGAAAATGATAAGTAAGCATTACAACTGTACTAACACTAGGTAGGTAACACGCCACAAATCATCTGAACATTCCCAGTTAGCGGGGTATTACCGCTACTTTGTGTTTTACAGCAAATTCTGGTAATTAATATTTAGATCTGCGATTTGACTGAAAAGTATTTCTAATATTCACCTGCTTGGCACACTTTTTGTAATTTTGTCTGAGTTTTCTCCATCTTTGAGCTGTACTTAGGGTGTCCGTATCTAATACCCCTGCCATGGCACCAGCCACCCTTTATAATTTCGAGCCGACACTAAAGAATGTCTGTTGCATTCTTACATTTATATTTTCAATCTGGGAAGTTCATTTAGGTGAATAATTATATTACTAATAGTTAATATTCAGTCAAACTAAAAGAATATAGATAATTATGTTATCACTTATCACGACATATTAACCATGTGTACTGTGCAGCTGCTAAACAAGGGCGCGGGGGGGGGGGGGTGGCTGCTAAACAAACCCCCACATACACAACACCACATTCTGATCAAATAAAATTGCTCATGCATCAGAGTGGGAAATGCTGGGGCTATAGCTTAGCTATAGTATAGCTAGTCGTGAATAGTACACTGTATTAGATAACAGTTTGATCCGAAAGCAGTGCTGATATTTTTATGCGAACGACGTAAAGTACTTGAGGGTCAGCAAAGCAAGACGGTGGGAATTTGTGCTGCGAAATCAATCGCTTGTGAGTTGTGACTCATTTAATTGAATTTTTATAATCCACTTTTAGAAGATGATTCACTTTTTTAAATCGCTGAAATGAGTGCCTGTGAAAACATATTAATTGATGGTTTACAGTATAATCATACTGTATAATTATTAATTATACAGTATAATTATACTTTACGGTACACACAATAAAACAAACAAGATAACACATCCACCAAACGCTTATAACGTAACGACGAGGGTGAAATACGAAAAACACTACTATGCAAGTATGCATGGCAAAAACTAGAAGCAAACACGTTACTGGGCAGTGGGCAGATCAAAACTATGTTTTATTATTGAGTGTAATCATAATCGAATTGAGTGTAAACTGACTGTGACTGTGTAAGGGGTCGTTCGCATATCGTTCGTAATCAGCCGAGGGGGAGGGGGGCCGGGGGTTTCCAAATGATTACGCTAGTGTAATTTTGACTCAATAGGGGGAGGGGGGTTATAAATTGTCCAAAAAAGTGATTACGTAATTTGTAAACGACCCCTAACACCTAAGCAGGTCTGTTTTCAAGAAATTACAAAATTTCTAACGAATTAAATTAATTATTAACATATTTTTCGCTGTATTATATGTATAGGCGCCATTTAACCTAGCTCATAATGCTATTGCAGATATGAGCTAATTCTAAGGTATTTAGTCAAGCTAGACGAACTATCCAAATAACAATACATGTTCGACGGAAAACCCAGAATATTGTAACTCTTAGAACGTGTCATGAGTGGAGTGTTGTAACAGACTACAGAGCAGTCTCGGAACTATAGGAACTACATTTAAATGTTAATAACGGAAAGGTGTTTATGCATATTATTACGGCTTAACGGACTAATCATTGCATCATAACGTTCTGTAATTGGGTCGTTAGCATTTTAGCATGTGTACAATCAGTTTTGTTGAGACTTAATTAGACGCTTGCTGTATGTATTGTGTTACATGTTTTCAATGAGGTTATGTAATATGTATCTTATCCTTCATGTATATGAGTTTGGTGACAGCAATTATCTTTCTACCATTTACAACAAGAGCTTATAACCAGCACCAACAAAGGATACTCAGAATCTCAACAACTCAGAAAATACTCTCTGCCTCAATCATAGAGTCAGTCAAACTCTAATCACAGGTTAGTCAGGCAGTGGCTCCGGTGACCGACAACTAGGAACCTCTCCTTCCGGCCTCCCACAGGAATCACATCACATGGCCCAATCAGTGACGTATCATTTGTGATGTTATCCATATTATAACCATCCTAACAGCCTGTTACCTAAGAACCTGGGTAGGGTTCACATGACAGTTTAGTAAGTAGCTGTGTATTATGAAGTAGGGGAAGGAGGCGTCAAATGGGATAGTTCCTCAAATGGGACAGTAGAAGTTTTGGGAAATATGTGGAATTAGGGAAGTAGACACCTATCCCACTGAAACTAGTACATATAAAGATCACTAAATCTCTAAACTAATTTGAGGTGTTGATAATATTACGACCGTGGGATCAAAGGAATGTTCCAGCTCAAGTCATGACAGAAAGTTAACCTCATTACAATTTCTTGCCCTACGTTTGTCAGAGAAAATGTTAGGGAACATGAAAATCTGTTTTGCCTGCCCCAATTGAAGAGTTGCTGGTAAAACACATTTTGGAAATGGAAGCAGCATTATTTGGGTTAACTTTAGAAGACGTTCGTTGATTAGCATTCGAACTTGCTGAGTTAAACAATGTACCCCATAAGTTTAGTAAAGCGAATAAGATGGCCGGCAAGTCGTGGTTATATGATTTTTTTCGCCGACACCCGGAGATTTCCCTTCGTAAACCGGAAAACACCTCAGCTGCACGAGCTAAAAGCTTCAATTCTGTAAATGTGAAGAAGTTTTTCGATCTCTATAAGGGGCTTATAGAAACGGGAAAATTTCTGCCACACAGACTCTTCAACGCTAATGAAACCGGGATTACCACTGTCCCCAACAATCCGCCCAAAATAGAAACTTTTCCAGTGCTGATTACTAGCAACCCCGTGTTACGTACTGTAACAGTACAAGTTAGTACGTGTTATGCGATATGTTCATCATATCGTTCAAATTACGTATATTTTATACATTTACTTCTTTAATTATTATCTTTTCTGCAATGTTTGAACATTGTTCATTGTCATGCAGCTCTTTCCTACTATAATCAGCTTCATGCAACATCTTGTAATTGAATTGCAACTTAACTGGGAGTTATTTTAGTAAATTTAGCAAAGTTAAATTAGGTCTTTTGACAAAACTTTTTTAAAGGTTAAAATACCAAAAGGGCGACAGAACTAACATTGGTAGAACGCCAGAATGTAATAAACCAGCTCGAATTAAAATTGACAAAATCATGAGGAGTTGGCAAGGAATACACAAATAACACGGCATATTTGAAGACGAATCCACAGAAGCAATCCTGCTTGTTGATGCTTTCAATGCTTTCCATGCTTTCAATGCTTTAGATCGTAAAACAGCCATTAGGAACCTCCGATACACCTATCCATAGCTGTTCACTTACATTCTTAATACATAGAGACAAGAAGCACCAACAATTTCAAGAAATGAAGTTTAAATAACATAATAATACCATTTGGCTAATCTCCTACAAATGAGCAAAGTATAACCATCACAGCAAACAAAACATACTCCATCCCAGGAAGGTTCATAAACACACAGCACTACCGTCTGGAACGTCCTTCAGTCTGGTCACCTGGAAAAACAGGAAAACCAGGAACCCCTGGAGTGAGAAGAGGGAGAACACTGATACACGTAGCAATTGAACGACTAGAGTCAATTAAATTCAGGCAGACGGCAAAACTAAATCCATTCATTTTGTGTCACCCGGGAGCCCGAATAGAAACTGTGGTCGAGGAAGTCACATCTACTGAATTGGAAGCACAGAGAGTACAACTCACGCATAGGAAACAAGAAGAAGAGAGGATAAGAGCGGCTCTCGCCCTGTAACAACAGATGCAAGAATTGGAACTAAGAAAACAACAAAAACTCGATCAGGAGAAACAAAAACTTGCGTTGAAGACTGCACAGCTAGAGAAAGAGAGTAACACTCATATGATCACAAAAACAGATGGCTAATTGTAGAGATGTTCTTTAAATATTCCTAAATGTTTTTGTTTGAACTATAACTTACCAAAATTTAACTAGTTTTACTCAAAGTTCAAAATGGATGAAAATTCCAAAATAAAATAAAAATAAAAATAAAAACAAAATCAGTCAGTCATCCTCGGCTCCTAAATACTAAAAGCACGACACAACCTCGAGGATCACCAGTGCAGGCCCGCTAGCATAATGCGGTGGTAGTTCCTCGAAGTAACGCACTACCTTTTCCGGGAGGGTGTTTCGACACCTGACTCCTAACGGGTTCTATGGAGTCTCCCGATGACGGATCATTATGGCAGATAACCTTAGGGTCATCGCCGATCCACCGGGTCATAACTATGTTATGTCTTTTGGACGTACCGGGCTCTGCGAACCCCATGCCAAGCAGAGCAAACGGTACAAAGCCTGCAGTCCAAAGGAGCTCCATCAGACGTTAGCCACAAGGCGGACGTAGCCTCCTTGCTAATCCAGGGAGGTAGAGTGAGCGCCCTCGACCTAAAAAAAAACAAACAAAAAAAAAAACAGTGACGATCTCATACCATCTCAGAGAAGGAACAACACAGGGAGATACCAGTGCACTGAGCCTGACGCAGAGTCCAGGTTAAAACAGACAGTCCAGGTTAAACAGACAGAACCTGATACAGAACTAGAATCATAAAGGGAACCCAACACGGGTTTGGTATGCAGACGAGCAGGGGGTATTACCCTAAACCCAGCAAAACATGGTGGATAGTAAAACCAGAGCAAGCTAAGGAACTTTTTCCAGATGTACAGATAACTACAGAAGGCCACCGTTATCTTGGGTCATATATTGGATCAAAAGAAGGGGTAAAAGAGTTCATATTAAAGGAGACAGAAAGTTGGAAAGCAGACATTCTAGGGCTTGTTGATATAGCTGCAAATGAATCACAGCTAGCCTATTCTGCTTTTATTTACGGAACCTTTAAAAGGTGGAACTTCGTTTGCCACCCCAGGGATTGCAGATCATCTAAAGCTCTTGGAGCATCGTGTCATCTCAGTAGTACTCGTTTATTAAAGGCAGTGGAAGTGACCAACACCACTATACATCACTATACATCATAAGTTTCAATTCTATATCATAATTTTCAATTTTCATATTCACGTATATTAAATAAAATTATATTGTTATTATATATCATTATATGATTTTGTAAACATTGGCCGGTGTACCAAAAACCGGTTCAAACTATCAAAAAGCTATTTAGACAAACCTGTAAAAGATAACAAAAGTCATAGTAACAGTAAAGTAAAGAAACCAATTACACAATTACAGTTTCCTACTGATCGGATAGAGTTTAGTTGGAGTGTTCTTTCTAACCACAGTACTCCTTACAAATTATTAGTTGCAAAGATTTTCCTAAGAAAATAGTGCACGCGATAATAAGTTGGCGTATTTATTTAATTAATAAAAGTAAGAAGAAATTCCAGCTAATGCAGTCGACTATGTACCCCAGTGTACTGTATTCCTATTAGTTCAA